GTTCACGTTGGACCTGTACAAGCAGCCGGAAGAAAATCAGGCAAAGGAAAGAGAAGCATTGGCCCAGCTGATGGCGAATATCAAGCGGAAGAGAGAAGGGAGTAACCCCGCGACGCCGTCGGTATCTTCGGCCAAGGATTCGGTCAAAGGAACGCCGGTAAAGCCACTACCGAAGAAGTTGCCGGAAAAGTTCAAGAAGGCCAGAACAGAAGAAGAAGAAGAGATCAAAGCTGCAAATACGTTGCAGAGGCAGAGAGATCTTAAGGAGAAGCTGAAGCAGAAGTTCAAGGAGATCCCTGATGATGAGACAGAAAGGAAGGTGGATCTCGGGCATATGAAGCCGAGCGAACCTGCAGGAGAGCCGCCAAGCAAAGAGCTGAAGAGCGTGAACCCGCAATGGCTCAAGAAGGAAGCATACCAAGGAACAAAGTATCTTCATTGCTTCTACTGTAAGAAGACTGATGGTCACAAAGCACCGGAGTGCCCGGAGATGTTCAAGGCTATCGAGCGGTACTGCCCGACCGCACCGAAGCCCAGGAAGGACAATGAAGCAAGGAAGATTTTTTGCAAGTACTGCTGGATTATGTACACCCATTGCAGGAACAAAGAGTATCAGTACATAGGATGGGGGACGCACAGTCCAGATATTTGTTATCACAAGAGTGATGCTGAAGACTACATGCGTAGTAATCCCCACAAGTTTGCCGATGAACTCAAAGAGATGAAGGAAGCTGAAAAGGCAACAAGTGGTTACTCACCACAGAAGAGTTGGGGTACAGAGACGATGAAGCCGAAGAAGACAATTGATGAAAAGAAGAAGGACGAAAAGGATGAAAAGAACAAGAAGAAGAAAGCCGATAAGTCCGAGGACAGCAAAGACAAGGACACAAAGAAGAAGAGGAAGCAGGATTCCAGCTTCGAGCAAGAAGAAGTTGCAAAGAGACAGAAGGACCGAGACAAAGAAGAGGATTTGATCTAAAGCCGGACATGCGAAGGTTGCGGTTTAAAGGTCAAAGTTAAGTGAGGGCGGAAAGCCGCCCAGGGCAAGCGAGACACCGTAAGGCAGGTGTATAAACAAGGCCGTAGTGTTTTTTCGTCTTACACCGCTGACAAGCCTGTGAGAAGAGAAGGAAGTTTCACAACACCGCAAAAGCTCAAGAAGCTTGCGAAAAGCGTGGACTATCCACAGCAACAGCCAAGAGGACTGCGTAATGGTCCCAAGGCGAGCGTAACGAGCGTGTTTAAAGAAAAGGCTGAAAGAGCCAGCACAGACGGCTTACAAAGCCAAAGTTCTTTTGCAAAGACTCTGAAAAGAGCTATGCCGAACAAAACTACCTCGTGTACCGTGAGATGGAAAATAGTGAGAGCGCCTGAGTTTGTAGTTGGCAAGTGCGACTGTTGTAAAACAATGGTCAGCCTAACAGTTTCCGTTTACAGGACTAAAAGCCAACGACATCCACAACAAGCACAGAAGCGAGAAGAAGAAGGAAGACAAAGACGGTTAAAAGTGCTCAAAGATGAAGCGTGTGAGAAGTGAAGAAGGCTCACAAGAGCATGCGAGAACCGTGGTGGATGTAGGAAAAGTTTCACAATGATCGCATTACACGACAAAGCTGTGTATGCGATGAGGGCGTAACAGATAGTTCAATTTTCCTTCATGTATAGAAACACACAGGAATCCAGTGTTTCACCGCAGGTCAAACCTAGGCTCAAGCACGGCCCAACAGTGGAGCATCGGAGTAGAAAAGATCAAGAGCTCGCGCCGTGATTATAAGAAGTATACTGGTATAAGGGTTTAAACTTTCACAATTACTTCGATGACTATCCACTTCTTGAACTCTCCAGCCTGACTTCCAGTTGCGACAAGGTTGTGCACTCAATCCTGACATTGCTTGGGTTTGATTGCGCATTAGACAAGGAGAGGGATATTGATGTCAAGGCTGATTTTGTTGGGGTCACCATCGACCTTGCCGATGACACGCTGTCCGAGGTGAGAATCGCCAATCGGGAGACCAAGTGCGCTGAGGTTGCATTTGCAGTTGATGAAGTCCTTGGCAAGGGCTGCCTCAGGTCTGCGGAGGTTGCCTCTCTTTTTGGTAGAATTCAGTTTATGTTCAGTTTATGGAAGGCCAGCTGCTTGGCCCGCATGGGCCGTGTGGCACTTGCCGAGTTGAGGGCCTCGGGTTTATCCTCTGGAGTTCTGAAGCTTGGCGCGGTAGAGCGTAGATCTTTTTGAAAATTTTCATGAAAGGATGCTCCGTGGGCCACCCCGTGCCATTCCGACTCGCCCGCCTGGGCAGAGTGTGGTTGCATTCACAGGTGGTGCCTGCAAACCAACAATTGATAGTATACGCTGCTCCGTCCGCGGAGTGATGTATGCTGGGATATCCGGCAAGTGGACTACTCGTTATTTCAGTTGTCGTTTGCCTGACGAGCTTATCCGAATGTGGAGTGCGGAAGGCAAGAAACATCTTATCGGGCCTGTGGAGTTGTACGCCGTCGTTACGGCCCGAGTTCTGTGGAAGGACTTTCTTGACGGTGCCAGAGCCATATTCTTTGTCGACCATTCGGGTGTGTATGCAGCTTGCGTGAATGGCTCGTCTCATGACAGGCTGTGGAGAGCTTCTTGTGAAACTTGAGATGGCCGTTTTGTCCCCTATGATCGGCTGGTACGCTCGGGTGCCGAGCCACAGGAATCCTGCAGTCGATTGGAAAAAGGATTAAAGTGACTAAAGCGTGTGAATGAAAAACAGATGCCGCGTCCAGGGGCTCCAAACATTTCCCAGTGTGGGGCACTCTTTCAAGGTGAAAAGGGGGATTGATGAACGGGCTCATTCACACGAATGATGTTCGATCTTCGAACTCTCGGTCGCTCCGGATGTTCCCGCTTTGGCAGTGCTGTCCAAACTAAAAGAGCCGATAGCTTCCGGTGGCACGGCAGTGGGATCCTGCTTCGGCGGATGTAAGATTCCCAGAGACTCCGGTATCCCTTCACAAAGGGTTTAGGGTTTATAGGGCTTATAGGGCTTGTCGGGTTTATAGGGTCTGGGGTTTAGGGCTTAGGGGGAATATACCTTAAATTATCTAATGACCCCTGATCTGACCTACTAGGAGGGTTTAGGGTTTAGGGTTTACCCTAAGGCTCCTAAAAGGGTCATGGGCTTCTGGGGGAGGGCTTGGGCTTTGGGGGCTAAGGTTTGGGATTTCACTACGAGGGTTTAGAGTTTAGGGTTTAGGCTCCTAAGACGAGGGTCATGGGCTTCTGGGGGAGGGTTTGGGCTTTGATGGCTAAGGTTTGGGATTTCACTAGGGGGGTTTCTCAGAGTTCATGCGATACGATTGTTTATAACATCTTTGATTCTTTATTCTTATGAGGAATTAATATTGAAACTTCCTCATTTATATCATTGATTGTATATTGCGATAAGTCACTTATGCTATCAGCCCATTTTGAAACTTGTTTCATTTTGGCTTTGTAGTTGAAGTGATGTTTCAATTTCTCAGTGAATTTGAAACTCGGTTTTCGCAATGTGTCGTGTTTGAACAAGTTCGAGAGCGCTGTTTACTGGGTGGTTGGCGGAGTGCTTGAATGCTTTCGCTGTCTCATCTCAAGCCATCTTTGGCAAAGGGCCCAACAAATTTTTGACCCACCCACCCACCCGGGGGATTGATGAACAGGCTCATTCACACGCTTGATGTTCGATCTGCAAACTCTCGGTCGCTCCGGATGTTTCCACTTTGGCAGTGCCTTCCAAAGACAAAGAGAGTGCCTCAGAGTTCATGCGATAGGATTGTTCATAACATCTTTGATTTTTTCTTTTGAGGAGTTTATATTGAGACCTCCTCATTTATAGGTGATTCTATAATGCAAAAAGTCACTTATGCTATAATGAAACAATGCAGCGGCAACAAATCCGAACTGATCGAAGCCCTTCTGGAGCAAAGATGCGAGTGCGATTTGCACTTTTGCATTCTCGCAGACTCTATATGAGCCTGGATTGCAGCGCCGTGGTTCTGTCATCTATGTCGACAATTAGATGCTTGTCGTTTTTGGTCAAGTAATCACTACCTATCGTACGCTTGTTGCCGTTATACCTACATTGTTTATGTCCTTTGCTGCTATTATTTACAATCTTGTTGTCGCCCGAGGCCCTGTAAGCTGACTCATCCATCCTTTGTGGCTGGCGGCAGAATATGAGTTTGAATCTGCAAACACAGTTGATTGCGTTGACCACCATAGTCGTATTTCCGTCCAGACAGCATGTATGTACCCATGCACGAAATGCAAACACACGCGCTGCTTTGGGAAAACAATGCACGTGTGATGGCAATGATGGAACACGTAGATAAAAACCCCCACCAAAGAAGACGGAAATTAGTCGGATGCCAATGTTCCTCTGTTTCTGCAGTTGAGCATGCACCAAATTGCCAGCAACCAAAGGTTTTCTCACTGCGACTGGCGACTCCACGTGGCAAACCCGCCTACGCTTTATGTGAAGTATTGGCGGTCAGTGAATGTACGTACAAGTGCAAGCACAGAATAAAGACGGGTTTGAGTTTGACAGTTTGCCCATGACTGTGGCCTTCCACTTTTGCCGCAGGGTCGTGACAGTAAGTTCCACTTTGGCCTCCTGAGCCACCACGGAGCTGATACTTTACGCCTCACTTTGGACCCAGCCCGGCGATGCGCGTGTCTGATGTTTTCAACCGCCATAGCCTACTGTAGCTTGAGTCCACACGCACATGCACACTGCAAGCGTTTAGCGCGTGCCGGAGGCAGTGAGAGCAACGCATTGCAAAGACTGATCGGACACGTGGTTTTTGTGCTCAGATATTTCTCAGCAAGATCACTCGTAGCTGACATGATTGGCAGCATGCTGCAGCTCAAGCATCGTCCGGCGACCATCGAGCTTTGCAGCTTTCGACATGTTCCTTGTGACAGCTGACCGGTTCAATCTTCAGACAAGCTTTGGTAGAGTCTAGAGGCGTAATGCGTCACAATGTTGTACCCAATGTCAAGTTTCCGCAGTTTCTGGCAGATGGCGGGGGACACCATGTGTCAAGGCTAGATGAACAAACGGTACAGTTTGGGGCTGGTTGCTGCAGCTACACTTGCATTGTGGTAGGTAGCGTTTAAAGGTAGTTCCGGAGAGAAGACGGACTGGTTGGGGAGGCTAGTCAGTTTAGTTATAATGTCGATCGGGTCAGCGTCAAGATCCAAATGCAGGCCACATCTGCAATTGCTTCGCTGGCCTGTTTCTTGCATTGGCCTTAGAACATGTTAGGACGCTGATCTGAAGACGTGTGTTCCAGGCTTGCTCGAATCAGTATGATGCTCGGAGCGCCAATTCCGACCACTTGTGCGCTTCCTTTGCGGCCTTTGCAGAGCCGAGGTTCCGCCGAGGCAGCCGGCAAGGCCAGGTACGCTTTGTCAAATACCCCGGTACAGCGTTTCTAAACGTATAGTCATAATTAACCGTGACTCTGCTATGACAATGACGGGTTATGCGAACAGGGCAGGGGAGGTCAATTGCCAGCCCCTGTTTGTCGATGGCGGATAATGCTGTGAAGATAAAGTTCCCGGGTCTTAGTTCTTGGCTTTTCCTCCGGGCTAAGCCTGGATTCGGATTTGTGCATGCCGAGGGGTTTTTGGAAACGCTGATTCTGCGGGACCCCCAAAGTTCGTAAGGTGTGCAGTCCATAGCATCCTGAGAAGCTACGTCCGACCTTTGCAAGGTTCCGACTTTGGAACAGGACTTCGCCAGTGGATGCAGACGCGTTTGTGTCAGTGTCTGCACAGTGGTCAGAGATGCCTGTCGAGGCCAGCATGTTTTCAAGCTGGCGAATGCAGAGACGCCGCAGTGTCAGGTGCCTAGCTTCAGGATTCCTTGCCCCATGCATGTTTTCTGAAACAGTTTCAGTGTCGAAAGATGGTGCAGGTCGTGCTTTGGGTTTAATGTGGGTAACCTGATGCCGGTGCAGTGGTGGGCGTGCAGGAAGATCAGCAAGAACGGTTTAGTGATGTGCCGTATTGACGAACTTAATTGAGTACCTCCCGTACGTGCCCGTGGAGGGGGGGGGCCAGGCGAAAGAGTGCCTTGCATCCCGTCGAAACCAGGAGGAACTATGAAGCCCGATCTGGCCCCAGGACGCGCTGTCAACACGGCTAGATGATTGTAAGCGCTTCGTGTCGTCCGCCTCGGCTAACGAAGGTGGGCGGGAGGAGGGGGGTCAGGCGGGAATCCGGGAAGGTGTCGTCAGAGGAAGGCGGAGTCGGGGGACTGGGGCGAGGGGAAGTTGGCGAAGATTGTTCTAGGAAGCTCGCACAAGAGTTATTCCAAGCACCAAAGCTCGCAAAAGAGTTATTCCAAGCACTAAGAAAAGACATGTAGGGATCACCCAGGTGCTTTTCGCTTTTTTCGGGCAAGGCTCACTCTTACCGGTAAACCATTGAGAGTTTCAATGACAGGGAAGTCACAATGCACATGAAGCATATGTGGCTATGAGATGATTGTATTGTTCGGAATGGCCCAATTCATAGAGTAATGAAGGACAATACTTGAACAATCTGTCCCATGCCACGCAGCAATTCTTTCCTTACGGAACACCATGCCCCAAACAGCTGCCATGTGCAATGCCTGCTTACCAGGGTGGAGCGGTAGGCTGGTCGGGGAGCGACGAGGGGGGGGGCCCGTTGTACTGGCGCGGAAGGGTGGAGTGGTACGGGAAATTGCGGGCTGTGACAAACAAGCCTAGTGGGAGTTGGAAAGATGGCGGTTAATATGGACACCTACCCTTGGGCTGCTACTGTGATTTGTTGTTCCATGCAGAATCATCCTCTGTGCTATCCATCCTCTTATATAGACTATAGATCCACATCTTAGTTGTTTATCTTCTTTGCTCGCAGCAAAACGCTGTTGTATCTTTTTCACTGCACATGCCGCTTCCTCCCAATCGACCGAAGACTCCCCGCATTCCGTGTCGAAACGATGCCAAGAAAGGCATGAAGGCCACGTCGCAACGAATGCATTAAGGCAACGCTTGTAAGACCCTGTTTGAGGCAAGTGGCAGTGGTCGTCCTCGTTGTCGTCGTCGTCGTAAGCAGTAGCAGTAGCAGTAGCAGTAGCAGTAGCGGTAGCGGTAGCAGTAGCAGTAGCAGTAGCAGTAGCAGTAGCAGTGGCAGTGGCAGTGGCAGTGGCAGTGGCAGTAGCAGTAGCAGTAGCAGTAGCAGTAGCAGTAGCAGTAGCAGTAGTAGTAGTAGTAGTAGTAGTCGTCGTCGTACTAGTAGTAGTAGTAGTAGTAGTAGTAGTAGTAGTAGTAGTAGTAGCCGCCACGGCTCAGACGTTTTGGAAGTTTCGCGCTGGCTTTCGAACAGGCTCTGGATTCCAACCTTGCGTTGCTAGAGGTCTCAAACAGGCCTCTCTCCGAACGACTAAGGGTTGGTTCCTCACGCTGAGCCATGTGCCATGTGCCAACAGTTTGCGTCTGAGCCGCCAGGTCCCAATTCCTGGACCCAGTACCCTGTCTCAACACGGGCCCACTGGGCAGGCGGTAGGGTTTCCACTAGCCGCGTGGTGGAGGGAGTCACTCGGCTTGCCTTGTGACGAAATAGCGGATGGCGCTGCTCCCAGTGCACTCACAAAATTATTCTCAGATCAGGAAGAATTCTTTCAAGCATGTTTGCCGACAGGTGGCTGCAAGCCAGCAGCCTGTTTCTTACCGAGGTCAGGTTCTGACCCCAGCTCTTCTCAGGCGCATGGGCAACTGCCCACCGCAGCCGGGCTCCAAGCAGTCTTTTGCACCACGATCTCGGGCAGGACAGGCCACCAGGCCTCTCCGAGTACTGTCCTGGAATGCAGGCCATCTTGGCCAGCAACAATGGTCGGAAGTCAAATCATGGCTCTCCACTGAGGCACACCACACCTGTGATGTGTTCGTCCTGCAGGAGACCCACTGGCAGGCTACGGCCGAATTTAGTGTTGCAGGCTGGTACTGCATCTCGTCTGCTTCTGCTGCAGATCCGAAGGCCTCTAGACGAAAGCAACGCGGGGGCAAGGCCCATAAACAGTCACCTGCAGAGGCAATGCCTAATGACGATAAGATGACCCCACCCCGCAAGGAGCCCTCAACAACTCGCGCGGACGGGGTTATGGTTTTCCTGTCCCCACACATACTGCCCAAAAGTGTGCGCTGGCAGGAACATGTCATAGGCAGAGCCCTGGAGGTCAGGTTTGACTGGCACGGGGCCCGCATCAACCTGGTTGCTGTGTATCAACACGTCTGGTCACCGGCCAAGCAGGTACAGACCAATCGTCAGGACAGAGCACATGTCCTGAAGGCTCTTAGCAGATGCGTGCAACGCGTGCCGCACAGGGACACGCTTATCCTGGCAGGAGATTTCAATAGTTCCTTGCAAAAGCAGCCTAGGCTGGTTGGTCCAGAGATCATTAGCCCACAGGAACCGAGATCTGATGAGCCAGAGCTTACCAACTTTCTGCTTAATCATCGCTTGGTTGCCCTCAACACGTGGAGGCCTCAGCCGCCACATACGTTTCAGCAAGGGGATACGCGCACTCAAATTGACTTTGTGCTTACGAGGGAGGTCTCTGCTGGAGGAGCTGCCAAAAACTCTACGCCGCTGGCAGCTTTCCCGCTTGGAAGCTGGAAGAAAGGCGGGCACTTACCCATCAGTGCAGCTGTCAAACCAGTTCGGCACTGGAACCTGCCAGCCCCTCAGATACAGCAGCATCATTATGACACCGCTGCTCTGCAAGCGGCTGTTAGGGACAACACGCTGCCAGCTCAGCACATGCTCGAGTGGGTTACAGCACGACTCACTCCGGACATGCAGCCGGCGTCATGGGATCGCCTCCTTGGCGAAGCCGCATCCAGGTTTTTCCCTAAGACCCCAGTGGCAATGCCAGATAGTCCGGAGACGAGCCTTGCCAGACGCATGTGGCGCTCGGCACGTGGGAGCAATGCTCACCCCAGTGCGGAGCCATCGCCGGAGGATGAAGCCCGGCAGAGGCTGTGTGATCAGCATAAACAGGCGGTTAAGCAGGCTCGCAAGGACCAGACCAAACGGTTTCTTGCTGAGGTTGATCAGGCTCTGAGCCAGGGCGATCAGCACCTGGCATATCAGACTCTTAAGCACCTCCGGCCGTGGAAACCGGCTTTGAAAGCTCAGCTTAAGGACGCGCACGGCTTCCTGCTCAGTCCTGCAAACGAACTGGATGAACTGGGGAAGTATGCAACTAAGGTCTTTGCGGCGCACCCACAGCTCCCGTCTGATTCGGGACTCCTGCCCCTATTGCCACAGACCAAGTTAGCAAAACATATTGCCTCGATCAAGCCTAGCAAGGCAGTTCCGAAAGGAGCGGCACCGGCCGCAGCCTGGAAGCTCTGTGCTCAGCCGATCTCTGCGGCGCTTTCACAATACTGTTCAAGCCTGACGCAGGACCAGTCACTGGACGACGATCTGACTCGCGCAGATCTCTGCTTAATCCCAAAACCGGGCAAGCCGGCTGACAAGCCTTCACAACTCAGGCCGCTGGGCATTCTTCGCCCGGATGCTAAAGGACTGGCGGGCACGGCCAAGGAGCTCCTGGAGCCTTTCACGCTGCCATACATGAAGCCTCTACCCCAGTTTGCATACCTCCCTGGGAGAGGTCTTTCGGATGCACAGAGCAGAGTGGTTCAGCATTTAAGGGAAGCAAGGCAGCTCTGTCGCAATGCGAATCTCACCCGAGCGGATCAGCAGCGGGGACAATGTCCTGTAGGTCTCGTCGGCGGCATCACTTTCGCACTAGACCTGTCACAGGCATTCGACACTGTGTCCCGAAGTGAGATCTTGTCCCTGCTAGATGAGCTGGGCGCGGATCCCCCGCTTAAGAAACTCATACACGGCCTTCATCATCGATCTAAATACAGACTTCATTCTCAGGGGGCCTACAAGGACGTGGAAACTACCACTGGCATCAAACAAGGCTGCAAGTTGGCCCCCACGCTGTTTTCCGTGCTCACAGGCCGCCTCCTTCATAGACTGATAGACGCATTTGGCTGGGACAATGTCCGCAGATACTTTACAGGTTACGCGGACGACTTCACCATGCATCGCACCATCCGCAGCCAAGCAGACGTGGACGCTGCTCACAAGATGATCCTACAGCTTCTGTCGGAGGTGACGAAACTGGGATTACGCGTCAACCCGGCCAAATGTGCCATGCTAGTCAAGCTTAACGGCAGAGAGGCGGAAGCCGTGCTTCAGAAGCACACCTGCTGGCTGCCCGACTCGACGGGCACACTACAGCGGCATTGGCGACTGGGCAAGCACAGATCCTTCCCTGCATACAAACTTGAGGCGCAAATCAAGTACCTGGGCATCCAAATTTCCTATGGGAACTTTGAAATGCAGACGCTGCGATTCCGCATAGCGGAGGCTGCCAAAAAGCTCCAGCAGGTCAAGCGATTCGTCTACAATCGCCGCACCGCGGGGCCAATGGCCAGGCTAAAGGTCTGGTTCACCACCGTTTGGGCCACCTTGGTCACGGGACTCCCCGAAGTCGGCCTCACGGAGGAGACGGCCAGGCATCTTAGAGGCTGGTATGCACACAAGATACGCTCGGTCCTCAATCAGCCTGCACACGTCGGCCACACACCTACAGCTGACCTGTACCGACTATATTCAATCCAAGACCCGGTAGCCAAAATCCAAACAAGGATGGCTTCTAGACTCAAGCGGTTGTGCAAGAGAACAGCCCCCTCCGAAGCCACCACTACAGCCCTGCCTGCACACACCCCAGTGAACCCTCAGCGACGCGGGGCCCATGGGCCAGGCTGAGTCCACCAGCGACGGGCCTAGCAACACACCAGCAGCCGTCTGAACCACATACATACGGTGACGTCACGCAACTGAGCCACGTCGTACAGGACCTACAGGACATGCTGAGAGAGGTGGAAAACCTCCCGGCGAGCACCGAGGCCTCACAGCAGCGGCTACACGCCTGCCCTCACTGCGAGTCGGGTTTTGTCTCTGCACATGGCTTACACATGCACGTCACGCGAATGCATCGCGAGCACGTGCAAAGGTACATTCCCCCCTCCTTTGATCGCAGTCGGCACTCCAAGGATGGTCTACCTGTATGTTCTGCATGCGACAAGGCTTTCCATCAATGGAAAGGCCTACGTGACCATCTCTTATCGGGGGCCTGCACGCAGCCGGAACGACTGCGTCAGATCTCTCTCACCACTGAGGAACAGATGCAGGGTCAGGCCCTCCAGGGCCTGGCGGCCTTTCGCGCCAAGGTGCAGAGTTCGCCCAGCAACAAACTCAGTGCCATTGCCACCCGGCCAGAGGCTCAGGAGCTTAAGCATCGGTGCATTTTGTGCGGTTTTTGGACCCCGGACCATACCAAGATGAAGAATCATCAACGACAGGCCCATGCACAAGCATGGCAGCGAGATGGTCCGGCAGCACTTCAGCTTTGCAAGGCCTATTCTGTGCAGATGATAAAGGGGCACCCCTGCCCCTTTTGCAGGCTGCCGGTCTATGACAAACGCAAACACCCTGAGCAATGCATTGTCCTGTTTCAGGTTCTGCTTGGGTGGCACAAGGTGCAAGGCACGGACAAGATGCGGGAACAATGTTCCAAGCCTCATCCCAAGACCGCGGTGACAATGTCACTTAGTGGCTTTTTTGGGGCTGCAGACAAGCCAGCTACCGCGGCTGCATCACCCACTGTTGCCATGGCAACGACGGGCGCCGTCGGCAGCACTCTCCCGCCAGGCCTGTATTCTCGTATGCGACACATGGTGAACTCGGGTAACACCTGCTATGTCAATGCGACCATTCAGGCCCTACTAGCCGCGCTAGACTCTGCGTCCAATGTAGCGGAACTGGGACCACTGGTCCAACACTGCATCAACCCGGAAGCGGATCCAATGGATACGAGGCACATAAACCCTCCAAGCCTATTCGCTCTCCGGTCCTTAGTGCCTAGATGGCGATTCGATGGCCGTCAACAAGACGCCTCCGAATTTGTCACATACATGCTAGAGCACAACACGGGGACTCTGCAACCCGCTCGCTGGGAAGGACGCACTAATGGAGTGCCGGAAAGTGAGGATGACGGCCTCACGCCGTTGCTGCTGCCCCTTTCCTCAGCCTGTCGTACACTGCAGCAGGCCTGCACGGCATGGTATGACCACACGTTCCAGCGCGCCCTGGCATGGGCCCCTGACATCCTGCCAGTCACAATCGCTCGATGGATGGACGGCACAAAACGACGCACCCCGCTGGACCTGCGCAGGCACCTCTCAATGCCGTCTTGGATTGAGGGTCAGGGCCGGCAATGGCATCAATATGCAGTCATTTCGGGAGTTTTTCACATAGGTGCTGACATACACTCCGGCCACTACCGGTCCTTCTGGATTCACCCAAATGGAGGCGCGCTGTATGTGGGGGATGATGCCACCCGCCCATACCCAGCCTCGGCCTCAGATCGCAAACATGTTATGGAAGACTGCTACCTCCTTTTCTTGAGAAGACAGGAGTGACTCTGACTCACCCTCAAGGGGTGAGTGCTGGCCCTCCAAACCTAGGAATGCGTGCACCAATAGGGTGCCTGTGCGTGGGAAGGCCGGACCCCACAATAGGTGGGCATGGCCCCCCCCACGTCAAGGCCAAGCATGCTTTAGGCATGCGCAGGCTCACCCGCAGCTTTTCAGGCTGACCCAGCATGGCTGACACGATCCACAGCCCGGACCACAAAAGTGGTCGAACCGCCTCTCCCCTGGCTCCAGATTCACTAATGGGAGAGCCATCTGAGCCGCTTGGGGTCGACACTCGACGCCAGACATCCGGAGGCGGCAAGCAGCGGCAAGGCAGCGCCCTGCATGCCCTCTCCAACGCTGCAACCAATGGTGCCACTGGCAGACTAAGCAGTAAGTCGCGGAGGCCATGCCTGTTCTCACTTGCGTCTCTTCCGAGACAGACTGATGGCCCTTCTGCCGGATGCCGCCGCTGTCAGTCGGAAATCATGCCCTAGCCTGCTGCCGGTCGCGCTACTGCTGCTCTGCTGACAGCATACACAACGCGAATTCCGTTTCAATGTTCAGGTACATACAACAATCTGGAGCTTGATACCCTGCAGCCTGCAAACTCGCTTTGGCTGATCACTGCCAGTTAGCTCAAAGCCTGTAGGCCGCAACCACTCAAAGGTCTTTTGACCTGGGCGGATCAGCTATAGGGTCTGAGTCAGTTTCACACCAAAGTGAGTGCACCGCGGCAATCGCCCGCTATGTGCAGAGCTCGCACAGCGTTCAATTGAAAAAATAGTAGTAGTAGTAGTAGTAGTAGAGCAGTAGGAGCAGTAGGAGCAGTAGGAGCAGTAGGAGCAGTAGGAGCAGTAGGAGCAGTAGGAGCAGTAGGAGCAGTAGGAGTAGGAGTAGTAGTAGTAGTAGTGGCAGCAGTAGCAGTAGCAGCAGTAGTAGTAGTAGTAGTAATAGTAGTAGTAGTAGTAGTAGTAGTAGTAGTAGCAGTAGTAGTAGTAGTAGTAGTAGTAGTAGTAGTAGTACTAGTACTAGTACTAGTACTAGTAGTAGTAGTAGTAGTAGTAGTAGTAGTAGTAGTAGCAGTAGTAGTAGTAGTAGTAGTAGTAGTAGTAGCAGTAGGAGCAGTAGGAGCAGTAGGAGCAGTAGGAGTAGGAGTAGTAGTAGTAGTAGTAGTCGTCGTCGTAGTAGTAGTAGTGGTAGTAGTAGTAGTAGTAGTAGTAGTAGGAGCAGCAGCCGCAGCAGGAGTAGTCGTAGTCGTCGTAGTGGAGTGGTCGTAGTAGCAGTAGCAGGGAAGTGGCAGTGGCGGTGGCAGTAGAAGTAGCAGTACAGCCCTGCTCACGCGAAGTGTGCTTCCACGACATGTTACAAGTCCCCAGCAAAGTCTCCCATGCCGAAGTTCCTACAGCCAGCTCTCAGGCGACCATCTTGCCAGCGCACAGAGGAGACACTGAGAGACTACTCTTTCCCTTTGAACTGTCGGCCCACTCCTCGAGAGAGCAGGCATGGACTCTGTGCAAGGCCGGCGGCATTCAGGTGACGGAGGCAGCGAGCCTCCAAGATGACACCGAGCCGTGGATGTGTGCGTACCTCCAGCCGCTTGCCTTCAAGCCTTGACCTCATGCTCAGTGCCTGTGGATGAACATGTTGTTACACATATGGCGTCCTACATCGCAGGAGAGGGGAGTTCGTATCAACATTACTATATCAGGAATTCAGGAACGGCAGCCTGAAGAATCACATGCAAAGATTTGCGGTCTTGCCAGAACAAGTACCGATGCTGGATGCTTGAGCATCCGGCTTGAGGTTGTCGCGGACTACCGGTTCTGGTGATCAACGCTTCAGCTCGAAGGTGAGCTGCCTCGGTGTTCCATGTTCCTCAGTGTCGCTTGCGTGCCACCGCCTTCAGAGGAACCAAACCAGTCGGCCTACGTGGAGGAGGAACGGGCACACCTGACTTCGAGGTTCCCCCAGCCTTTCGTGCTGCAGTCAGTGCTGACTCGCTCACATTTTTGAACATCTATGCAGCCCACCTGCGCATGTGCCCCTCTGTCAGCCCAGGTTTGCAAAAGTGGTTGCGGATTTCCTTCGGGCAGCTTGTCTGTTCTTGCAACAGAAATATTTTTGTGTCGTGGTACCTGTCATGGTGGTGCCTGTCATGGTGGTACCTGTCAGCTCAGCTTCGGAGGGCACCGGGACCTTCATTGTGTACGCACCCGCCTGAAAGCTTTCGGATTTTCCTGCCCAGTGGGTGCTGCATTGCAGCAACTTGCATGGCCCAACAGGTGGTCGAGTCTGCGCAACGTAAGCCGCCCGCTACGGAATTGCCGCAATTTCGTGTGACACTTGCGTGTCAGGCTGTGCGGCAACGCTCGGATGTATCATTAGCAAATTGAAGTACCCCCCGACACAATTCCTGCTTTCCTGGGTTCTCCGTCAGTGCTGCGTCCCACCTTAGACGCCTGAAAGGACGACAGTGGCCCACTATGTTTAGAAGGAGTTCTGATCGTGGTTGCGTGCTTGACAAAGCCAAGGTCAATGAGTATGCCCAGTTCCGGGCCACGAGCTGCCATGCTGGAGAGGAGTTGCATTTCAAGGCCGTGGATCCAATTCCGACCCTCCAAGCCCCTCTGCCCCTAGGGAGACGACTTGAAGCGCAAAAGTTGGGCTCTTCCCCCAATAGCTTTTGCCATTGACATATTCGGGGACGTATTCCAACGACCCAAAGGATTGAAAACGAAGCTTAACCTACAGCGTATGAAACTGGTTCCGCAACTGTGCCGGAGGAATGTTGACTTGCGGAGTTTTCCAAAACTGTGCTTCACCGTAATTCCTACAGGTGCCTGTTGGGACCTTTTCTCCCATACTATAGATACAAGGTCCACAAGCAGGCTACCTCAGGTAAAGGGCTGTGCTCACAGGCTATGGTGGACCACTTCCTCGGCCTGATGCAGGTTTCAAGGCACAATCGCCTGCCTTCCTGGCGAGCAGCTTCACTTCTGTTTTCGAGTTGCATAAGTTTGAGCTTCTTTCATCCGGATTGTTGTCGAGGACTGTCCTTTTCTCAGCTTAGGTGCCCATTGTTACTGACGTTAGAGTCCAGAGTCAGCCAACTCGCTTGGTCGCGTAAAAGGGAGGCACTTACATGTACTTTAGGCGACAAATGCTCCCGGTAGGAAAACTGCACGTCCCGAAGAAGAGTTCTCAGCAGTTGCAGAAGCTAAACGTTGGGCGACTATCAGTTACGGCTTGGCTGGGGCTTTTGCAGCCAGGGTTCCCGGAGGCCAGATGCATTTGCAGCAACTGGAGCGTGGTCATTGGCACACTGCAGCGAGCAGTTCTGGCAGCTCCAGGGCGGGGAGGGTTTCTTCCTCCAGGCAGCCAAGGAAGGCCTGGCTTGTACAAAACGCTTGCAAGTGTCGAGTCATACATTCGGAACAAATGATGCATGCTTGTCTCTAGGTTTTGTGGCTTTCTTTGGTGGCATCGACAAGATATGCAAGGCCTCTCCAAAAGCGATGGTGGCTGTTGCCAACAGCCTGAGAGTGCACTGTCACCATCCGCGAGCCGATGTTGCGCGGCAGGTCCAGCAATCCCTGATTGTTGCTGCGGGGTGTCTTTTTGAGGCAGGTGACAGCAAGGCCGTCCGTCACCTTTTCGCCGTGGACATGGTTGCAGCCTTGCATCAAGATGCCGAAGTTCAGCTGGAGACCTGCCGTGCTCTTGCACGATGCAGCCCACGCCTTCTTGGAAGATTCAACAAAGGCGTGGCAAAGGGCTTGTTGCGAGTTCTCCAACGCAGCATCACTGGCATCACTGCTGGACGCAGCACAGCTGTCACTGAAGCTTGTTTTGTAAAGGCTTTGGAGGCACTTGGAATATTTGTTCGACACGATGCCGCTCTGATCCCACTGGTCTATTCCCACCTTCTGCATGTCTTTCGTTGCGCGCCTCGTTTCTCGAACACCAGCGGGGCAATCAGCAACATATTGCGGGACATGGAAAAGACCGTTTGTTGCCAGGTTTGGTCCAAGCTCGTGCATTCAGCAGAAGAGGCTGCTACACGACTTGGGTCGCTAACGTTAAGGCCGGCCAATGCACGCAAGCCATACTTTCATACACAACTCAGAGCTTCTTCCAGACAGCGTCGGGAAGTCATCTTTCGCCTCTGAGGATGCGTTTGCATGCAAGAAGTGAACGTTGCGCTGTTTGCGTGACGTTCGGACTGAGTAGCCGGCTCGCAAGATGCGTCTGGTCGAAAACTCAGGCTGTTGCCCCTAACCGCAAGTCCTGTTCTGGAAACATTGAATTGGACTCTGTCCTTGCGATTCTTCGCCGCGCAGTCTTCTGGTTCAGCTAAATCCTGCCTGCCTCAGTTTGAGAGTTGATGACGACTTTGCCAAGCACTCCTGAAACTGTCATGTTGTGGGTAGCAGGACTCTGTGAGGTACCGTGTTTTTCATTGATTTCATTGAGTGTCAAAGTCTTCTCTAAAGCGCCATTGACGGTTCTGCCGAGTGTTGTTGCCATGGTACCAGTGCCGTCTGTGAAGGCCGTCAGCAGTTTTCTGGTGGTGAAAAGACCTGTAAGGTGTTAGGTCAGCCGACGACTTGGTGTAATGCAGTCGATGCCACTGTCACTGTGCAACGAGGCTTGCTGGCTGTGTCTGTGCAAGATGTTGGCCGAGGCCATGTCATGACGCAGGCTGAAAGCTGAAAAAGAAAAGTCTAATTCCTGTCGTAGAAACGGAGGCGCTGTCTTTCCTGCTGTCCTTTTTCGGCGCGGTGGAGGTGCAGGCTCAAGCCGCTTGCTTTTCCGACCGTAAGCCGCGTTCTCGTGCGAGTTTAGCAGGAGCCGCATGACCACGTGGAGTTGCTGCGCTCCACAGGGTCATATGAGGACTTTGAGAGCTGCATCGTACACGCACACGTGAAAGCCAGGGATCTGTAGTAGCCATAGCACTCAGAAAGCCCTCTGATTCTACACTCTACAATCTGCACGTGCCGATGCTTCAGGAGTTGAATGGGGCCCCGGGAGCTGCCGCCGTTCTGCAGCGTCCTCATCGCGAGCAGTGGGATGCAATGTCGGCCCCAGGCTCTTTCCACTGGGACCGAGGTTTCAAAGCGCAGCTGAAGCCTCCAAATCGAAGGAGTTCATGTTCGTTGTGCCTTCCGCTGTTCATGTGGACTTACTGAGAAAGTCTCGCTTGGAGGATCTAGAAGACATCCCGTTGCAGTGGCCCCAGAGTTTGGCATCGGTTTCAGCACGAATACTTGAAGCACCTGGTAGGATGGCCGCGGCTAATTTTCATGATGTCGGGCCACGGCAGCAGCAACGGAGGCAACTCAGAAAAGGAAGCAAGAGCAAAATCGAAGTCGTTGGTCGATATCTCCCCAACGGTTCTTTGCAGAGCACTGACAAAGTGCTTGTTGTACAATCAGCACAGAACTCCTGACATGGCACTGTGACAAGTGCAGCTCGCCCAGGTCTGACTAGACCGCGATGCTCGGATTTTGTCAGACGGGCAGCCCAGGACGCTGCGGTTCACGACCATCTGTGCAGGATGTGAGCGACACCGGGAAAAAAAGGAAACTCCCAGGACGATCTTGCAGTAGCGGGTGTTGGTTTCTTCGGCTTGTTGACGGCACGGTCCATAAATTTCCTGACCGCGTGGTGAGCATAGTGCCGCATGTCCTCCGCCTACACTACGCTAACCTTTAGCGGCGCATTTACCTGTCGCATCTTTGCAGGTTGGGAAGAAGCAGTCCCTTCAAGCCCAACAACGGTTTTGCGCTTGAATCAAACAGAAAGAGAAACGGTGAGTTTGCGACACATGGCTTCGCAGGGTCTCGGCAATGGAAACGAGGTTTTTGTGACCGACCTGGAGTTTCTTTGAGTTTCAGTGCGGGCTGAGTGCGGGGACACAGGTTTCGATGGGAAGTTTGAGACTTTCGCTGAGTTTTGGTAGGTGAGTCATTTGAGTTTCAAACCCTTATTTCCCGAATCGCTCGAGCGTCAAATCGAGCGTCTAATAAAGTGGGGTCTTGATGTCGCCAAGGCCTCCCAGACATCTTATGACGAATGACGTCCTGCAAACATGTCTGAAATAGAAACCAGCAAAGGCGAAGTTTGTGCCCTGTCAAGGCCGCAAGTCTGACTTTCAACCTCAGGAATTGGAAGCTAGGGGTGTCCCAACAAAGCCAGTCAACTTCAGGCAACCGATGTAGGACATTCCGTGATTCGGGTGCCCAACACCCCAACACACAACAAACTACCTAGGACACGCAAAGCGTGCACCATCGGCAAAGTCTGTGTAGCCAATGCCCCTTCAAGTTTTGTCCAGTGTTCCAAAAAGAGCGAAGCCGCCAGTCCCAGCTTGCACAGCGTGTCTGCACCAACCTCTCGTCTCTTGTTGTTGCCCTTCGCATTTGGTGGTCAATTCAATCCCGTAAACACCCACAAGTCCGAGAAGGAGTGGGTGTGATGGTGGATCGCGGAACCTCAGAAAAGAGTGTTTCGTGGTAGGTCCAAGGTGGGTGGCTTTGGCAGGAAGCTCATTCCTCGGCATTGAAGGAGAAAACCATGCGCGGTTTTCCGACACCGTTCAAGTTGTGCACAAGTATAGTTTTCCCGAAACACAGTGTGGCCTGGATCTTTTGTGAAGCTTGATCTGACAATCTCAGACATATTGGAAGCTTAGTTTGACATGCCTGCTGCCATCTTGGCTCCCTCAGTGTTTTGTGGCTTGCCCCTCGTCGGATCCGCTGAAGCCTGGAGCTCATGACAGTTTTTCACACACACGATGCCAGCATCAGAGTTTCGGTCGGTTTCCGCAAGCTGAGCTCGTGGAGGGTTGTCAAGGTGTGGCAGGCGACAAGCTTGTTGAAGGCGTTTGAGTCTATTCAGCATTGCTTGATAGATAAGCGAGCTTTCGGCGCTACAAGAACTGAAGCATCACTGGGCTGAATCCTCAAAGCTTGGTGGCTCCAGGCATATCAGCTTCGGATTCACGCTTCTGCGCATCGACTCGACATCCAAAGCAATGGGAGGCACCGCGGCCATGCTTTCTGGTGAGCTTCTTCGGAAAATCCTATCGTGTGCACCGCTTTGAGCTATTCCGGTGCTCCGCGCAGATCTGCTTCGTGTGGTGCAGACGAAAGGATGCTTGCCACAGCGTGTTGACTTTGCGAGACGCTTGAGCCTGAAGAGCTCGGCCGCAGGCAGCAAGAAGACGACTGCTGCTGAACGTGCGGTTTCCCAGAATTTGGTCCAAGGATTCCGAGTTGCCTGTTGGGATCCATGCAGATTCCATGCTTTGGGGCACGGGGCGATGGGCGACGGGGACCTGGCGCATTGAGGTCAGGCCAAGCTCCTGGAGGAGGCCAAAGGAGAGGTGAACCGCCGCGCCATGGCCCGAGAGAGCGGCCGAGCGGTCTCTGAAGATCTTTGTGCATCTGTGGCTCCTTTGTGCACCTACGCCTGTCCCAAACCTTCCGGAACTTCCGAGGTGTCTCATTCCCGGCAACTATTGCGTTCTGCCTTGTAGTGGGAGCGCTCAAGGCTTGCCTCCATCGCCAGCTGCACAAGACGAAGTTCTGCACCTACTTCCTCAAGGCACGGTTTTTGGGACACTAGGAGATAAGAGATGCTTGAGGAGTGAGAGCCGAGCTGAGTCGAGGGGGCCTGTCACTATGGTCCACAGTGTGCCTTCGCACACAGCTGCACCGAGCTCCAGGCCCGGACGTGCCTTCTTTGTGTGCTTCGCTTTGGGCTTTTGTTCTGTGCCAAGTCATCAAAAATGTGCCGATGGCAATCAAGTCCCCGGGCCGCGAATCCTGAGCACAGGCAATGCCGGATCTTCGCAAAACCCGCATGTGCAAGGCTGCCGGGAGTTGGGGCTCAGCGTGCTGAGACAGTTACTTGCAGAATTGGCGGAGCTTCTCATATCTTCCTGCAGTTCAGCTACATCTATGTCCATGCAGGTCACTATAGGGCTGAATCCCATGCATGACAAGCCTTGAGAAGCTCAGAAGGGTTCGTGAAGGCCTTCGCCGAGGGCAAGTGCATCGATCCGAACTGTGCCTTCGCGCATGGCGAGCAGGAGAGCGTCAGCGTCGCGCCCAAAACCGTTGAATGCTCGCCTCTTCTTCATCGTGTCGATGCCATTTTGAAGTAGCGGAAGTGCTGTAGTAGGGACATGCCCATTCCTCTGAATGCGTGGGCACGAAGACAGGAGCTGGTCTCGACGGGTCTCTTCCATAAGATGTCGCTTTGCAAGTGGAATGAAAAGGGCACCTTCGCTGCACTTATATAGAGGCACTGAAAGCCCCCCACGAGCCAGGACTTGAATCCCCTTTGCTGGAGGACCATGACCCCTGCCAGTCTCACCCGCAGTCCCGGACCCCTTGAACACGAATCCACCGTTCGGAAATGCTAAACACTGAGTTGTCAGACAGAAACCGACGGAGACGTCGCGTCTTTGCAGGCAAATGCCGAAACGGCAGTCAGTGCCGTTTTGCTGCTTGGATGCATCTGGATTTGGATGGCCCTGTCTGCGGCGCTGCGGCGCTCGCGGCAGCGCCTAACGTCCGCGTCCGCCCAGGCACACGGACTCGAGGAGCTCCGCGACATGAAAAAGGCCGTGACGGCTGCAGCAGCCTTTGCTCCTCCGGACGTCAGCGCCTCAGGGGCTTTACAGTACAGCGTCAGCTAAGTCACAAGTCTGAAGCAGCATGGTGAAGATACACGGGATACAGGGTTCCCTCTTTTGTGTGAAATCGTTAGGCAATAGCACCTAACTGTTGGGCTAACAGAGCCGGCCAAATCAAGCTCTCCGTTCTTGGTGCTTTGGACAGCCCACCTGCATCTTTCGCAAGTCGTGCCTACCTAGGGCCTGGTGTGTGACAGGTGCCTGCAAAATCCAAGCCGATCGAGAAGGCAGAGCCGATGAAGGCCATTCCCCGCTCCATTCTTTCCTCCCTTCGCACTTTTGCTTCACCACGGTACTCGCGTGCGGCTCCATCGAGGGTGCTTTTACCTTGAGTCCTCAACTTCAGACACGAGTGCTGTCTTTCATCCCAGCTTCAGCTAGCTTCGCAGTGCCTGGTGGAATATGTTTTGGCTAAATAAACACCATGCTAGGCTACTGTCTTCTTGCTAAACTATCCTGATCTTGCCATGGGAACCTATCTGTTGTGAAGGGATCGGACAACAATGAGACGACAATCGGTTCTTCATCGCTTAGACAGGAATTGCCTGAAGGTTTTGTTGCAGGACCCGAACGACTGATGTGTTTTGCCTTCTCAATGGTTCTCAGGCCGAGTCAGAGGCCCACAGAGAAGTCGGATTGTTTACCGACAGCTTGCAGGTGACCAGTGCGGGGGCCGGTTTGGAGTGGCGGCCTGAGCCGGAATGCGTCGGCTAAGACCTTCGAGTGTTCAGACGGTGTGTGCTTCATACCAAGTTCCCACATGCCACATGCATGTATGGACGACTGTCAGTCTGATGACCCCACGCCCTCCCAAGCTACCCCAAATGGCTCTGCCCACACTTGTACCTCTATGTGGCTCACACATCCATGCTCGCGGCATTTGCTGATCAAGCTGGGACAAGACCACCGTTCTCGAAGATACGACAGCCGGTTGCGAAGCAAGCCCTTAGTGCCCGAATCGCAAGGACGAGCCTCCTGAGTTAGTTCAACTGTGGTATATTCTCACCCCGAAGCCCGCTATGCCCGGGAGCTCCTTCTGAGGGCATTATATAAAAGTTACACACATGCATTTGTGTGTGTGTTTGTTTGTGATTGTCTATGCATATACACGTATATGCATGAACATAAATATGTGTATATACACATAGATGTATGCTCATCTTTTTTTTGGGCGGCCCTATGCAACTCGCTCAGCAACAACTCCGCAAGAACTCAGGTTTGTGAGAGAACTACGTAGGAGTGTGCTTCAAGGAGTGTCTTGCACGTTGGCAACCTCACTAGCGCACTCCAAAAATGGCGGTCTACAGCTGTTCTGTGAGCTTGTAGATAGGAGTATGGGAAGGTAGGGCTGTGAGAGGCTGGGGGTCTAGAGGACTTTAAAAGCCAGTGCCAGAGTAACTTGGTGCACTGTTCTGTCCAGTGGACCCTGCGCCTGCCTGGCCTAAGGCCTGCTCCTACCGTTCCCCCTTTGTACTGAAAAGACCTAGTAAAACAGCAGTTCCGTTCTATATGTTCGGATGGGATCGGAGAATGTGCCCGAAAAGATTCAGCTGTGCTTTGTGGATGTGGTGTGTGAGGGGGGGCTGAGAAGTGAGTGCTCTGACTTCTTGATTGGTGTATGTACGTGCTGTGGGGTTGAGAACCTCGGTGTAGTAGGTGTTGTTGAAGTATAGGATTTTGCGAAGTGACTGTGAGTGGAAGGTTTCAAGCCTGTGGTAGTCTCCGGCTGTGAGCGCAGCAGACTCCAAACCGTATGTTACCAGTGGAATGAACACTGCGTTGTAGATTCTGAGCTTCCACTTCAGTGTGAGATCGGTGTTGCGCCAAAATCGGTGCCGTGAGTGGAAGTGTTTGCGGGCTTTGGCAAGCCTGGTGGTGACATCTTTGTGGGAGGAGCCGTTGTTCATCTGTTTAAATAAATAAATATATAGAAATATAGGCAGATGTTTATGTATCTGCATGTGTACGTGTATGTGTACACGTACGTGTATCTGTATATATATATATATATATGTGTGAGTGTGGGTGTGGATGCGGGTGTGGGTGTAGGTGAAGGGTGTATTTGTGTTCACATATCTATGTTATATGTAAATGTGTTTGTATGTGCATATGTATCTAACGCATACATATATTATACATGTATATATCTGCCTGTAAATATATATATATATATATATATATGCATATCTGTTTGTTTGTATGTATGCTGTTTCATATACACGCACATTCCTGTACATGTACATATGCATGTTCACACATACACACATACACACATGCCCACATACCCACTTTACGCACAGACACATAGCATAAACATACACCTGCATACGCATGACATACAAGTACATAAATATATGTTTGTGTACATATATATGTATACAGATTAACTTGTTATGTGATCATGTATCTATTTGTTTATTCATGTATATACCAATATACTATATTATGCTCTAGTATGCTATATTATGCTATACTATGCTGTACTACGCTATATTATACTATGCTATACTATGCTATACCTTGCTGCTATACTCTGCTGTACCATGCTATACGATGCTATACTCTGCTATACTATGCTGTGCGATTTTTTACTATGTTTTACTTTGCTGTACGATGCTTTACTGTGCCATTCCATACTACACTCACTGTACTATACGTTGTAAAGCTATACTTTACCTTGCTATACTATGCAAAAATAGGCTGTACTATTGTAGAAGATCGTGTAGTATAGTATCATACAAGCTAAATAAAGCATGAAGCACTATAATGATAATCCTTGTATAGATAGATATGCGATCCCCAAGTTCTGTGACGTCTGGGAATCCGAGGCCGATTGCCACCGTTGCCGCCTTGGCTGCGGCTGCCGCAGGCTTGTTGGTCTCTTTTGACTTGCAATCGACTGGTGGGTGGCCTATGTCGACGAGTTTTGCATTTTGGGAGAACCACAAAATCAGGAGGGAGCCAACAAAAAAGAGCAGGAAGTTTTGATGGTCGGCACTGTCGGGAACTCGACTCTCCCGGAGAGTTGCTAAGGCAAGATGGAACACGTCAATGAAGATTGCGTCCTGTCTCGGGCAGAACAAGCGCGTCAAGACCATCGGATCATCGCCCCTGTCTGGTTCTCCGAATCGTTTCTCCTCCATCCGCTCCACGCTGGGTAGCGGAAGCCACGGAAGCCAATCATCGTCCGAATCTCAACGATCAACCGCAGTGATGCGGCAAAATTTACCGCGAATCGAGATTTCAACAAGCGTAATTCTCCTCAATTTACGTGGGGCACGAAGCTGAAAATCGACAAGTTTCTGGTCGCGACTGCTCCGGTGCAGATCTTCATTCCGCCGTGGTTTCAGGGCTTTGGCCTGGCCTCACAAGGGAAGGCTGCTTTTGAGGGCAGGAAATCAGGAGACAGCTCCAGTAGCATCGGTTGCTTCGTGGTTCGCATACCGCCCCTGATAGGGATGTGCCGGGCTAGAAGGTCGAACGCAAGCACCAGTGGGTGGCCACTGACAGCACCAGTAGTCCGTGCAATAGTTAGTAATCAGTAGCATTGGTGCTTGCGGTTGTAGTAGTAGTCGTCGCCGTTCGTCATAGCATACAGCCAGAACACAACTAGTAGCTGCGCTATCAGCATTTGCTGTGTGGGCATGGGAGCCGTAGTGGCTAGCGGTATTTGTAGTTCACGGGGCAGTCGTATAGTGAGGAGTAGGTACAAGTACTTGTCTTTGTCTTTTTTTTTGGGGGGGGGCGGGGGGAGTTGGCGGCATGTTTCATGAGCTGCACAGTGTAGGGCTGCTTTTCAGGGTCTTGTGTTCATGGGCGATCTGGGGTCTTAAATTTTAGAAAACTACATCAAGCTTTGGGAGCCTCGTATGCGCAGCGATGTGCTTACGGGCAGAGAATGCTTGTCAACCCCGAAAGTATGTTTGCAAGGTCTAGAAGGCCTATATGTGCATCTATGTGAGAGTTACCAAATAGAACAAGGACATAGGTGCGGAGGAATGTTTTACATGAGGAGCTGAACCGAGGAACGTTTGTGCATGCAAAATGCAATAGGTAAGGTCCTGACTCCTCATATCCAGTACGTGTGAGCTGTACGAAAATGAACATGCACATTGGTGTTTCAGTAGCATGTACGGCTGCATACAATGAAACACAATTGTAATGTGGTACTGTGTGTCGACGGGATTGCATACTGTACATTTCTCTCGGTCCTCATTCTTTGCTGTCATACCTTGCCGTACATGTTCCGACGGGCAGATCTATGCTTACATATAGAAAGTCAGCATGTTCTGCAAAAGATGCAAAAACAGTTTGCTCTCTGCAGGTGGAACCACGTCCCTGATCCCCCTCCGTCCGAGTGTGCATCCCCCGGAACGTAGTCTTATACACTCACTCACTCACTCACTCCCTCTCACTCCCTCTCACTCCCTCTCACTCCCACACTCCCACACTCCCACACTCCCACACTCCCACACTCCCACACTCCCACACTCCCACACTCCCACACTCCCTCACTCCCTCACTCCCTCACTCCCTCTCACTCCCTTTCACTCCCTCTCACTCCCTCTCACTCCCTCTCACTCCCTTTCACTCCCTCTCACTCCCTCTCACTCCCTCTCACTCCCTCTCACTCCCTCTCACTCCCTCTCACTCCCTCTCACTCCCTCTCACTCCCTCTCACTCCCTCTCACTCCCTCTCACTCCCTCTCACTCCCTCTCACTCCCTCTCACTCCCTCTCACTCCCTCACTCCCACACTCCCTCACTCCCACACTCCCACACTCCCACACTCCCACACTCCCACACTCCCACACTCCCGACACTCCCACACTCCCACACTCCCTCACTCCCTCACTCCCACACCCCCACACTCCCACACTCCCACACTCCCACACTCCCACACTCCCACACTCCCTCACTCCCTCACTCCCTCACTCCCTCACTCCCTCACTCCCTCACTCCCTCACTCCCCTCACTCCCCTCACTCCCTCACTCTCTCACTCTCTCACTCTCTCGCTCTCTCAAACTCTCTCACTCTCTCACTCTCACTCTCACTCTACGACAGTAGCTGCTTTACAGTTTGCAGGTCTTGGGTGCCCCTCGGGGTTTTTGCAGGGGCCCTTTCCTTTGCAGGCACAACAAAAATGGGGTGACATTGCATGACTGCTGACTTTCTTAAGGCTCCGCTGCGCAGCACGAAGGAAACCAAACATTTTGAGCAGGCTTGACCCCTTGAAAAGGTTGTAAGGTTGCTTTCCGCTATACTGCTATACGTCCCCGCAGAGATCCCTCTGCACGGGACTTGCAGCCACGACGGGCCCCTGGTTAGGCATAAGGGTCACATGCATGACCAGCAGGCCTGAAGGCTCGCTCGCATATGCTTCGTCTCTGTCTTCCGTGCGGGTTGAAGGGCATATCTCTCTACATATGTGTGTGTGTGTGTGTGGATATATATATATATATATATATGTGTATATATATATATATGTGTATATATATATGAAATATATAACTACACATACATAAATTCAAGCATGTACCAGCACTCCAAAGCGAAAGCTGTATCCGAAAGTCAAGACTGGAGCCTTCACTCCAAGAACGATTTTTTTGTTCAGGCTCATCTCTTCTGACCACTCCTCCCGGGCTGTCGACCCTCAAGTCGACACAGCTCTGCGCTCAGACGCAGCGGGGAGTTTCAACGAGAATTGAGGCGCCCGAAACCGTGAGCTCCAGAAGTTCTCAGATCTGTTTCTGTCGCCCCCGCCGCAATGGCAAATATTGGAAAGGGGTCAGAACACACCTAGAAGTGACCACTGTCAGGAGCACCGGAGCCGTCCCGGTAGGCCGTCAAGAGCGCTGCCTTTCTCGGTGAACCTGCTCTGGACTTGTCACGGTCGACATGCCCAGCTACACATTCGCGAGGAGCTGGTTCGAGACCCTTCTTGCACGTCCCGAGTGCTGTCCGCACTGCTGCCCTGCCGAGAGCTGTCGTGGAGCAGCGAGTTCTGCTGCTTCAGCCTTGTGGCTGTCGGGCGCCCCCATAGCCCCATAGCCCAAAGCTGCAAAGCAAAGTTGCCCTAAGCGCAGTTCCGAGGCCAGGGCGCAAGAGGACAGCTCTGCGCGCCTCTGCCGAAGCCTGGCCTTACCAGGCCCATTCTTCTTAAATGTGAGTCTGGAGGTGTTGGCTTTGCCTTGCGGTTTCAACAGTTCTGTCTTCCTGTTCGGATGGGTTCTGGGCTTCGTCGCTAGCCGGGCATCTCGCGGTTCTCGTTTGCATCTTTCGTCATGCATGGCTTGCCCTGACGTGCCGCAGCCTCAGAGTGCCCTCTTCCTCTTCTTGGCAGGGCAAGTTCCAGGCCGATGCCGATGATTCCGTTCCGATGATCACGCCGGACATGTTCGCGCGGCGGGCCTCGGAGAGATTTCGGAACTGAGGAGGTTTGTCGAGGGATTTTGCCAGGATGTCAATACTGTGTAAAGAGAAAGTTAACTTGTAATGGTCTGCATTGAACCGCGAGAGTGACTTGATCTGCGAAGATCGTGATGCTGACAAGGTTTTCGCAGGCCCTGGCCGCACAAGCTCTGGCGTCGGGGCCTCGGGTTGTTTCTGATGCAGCGTAGCCACTGTTTGTCGTTCATACGTTCTTCCATGAGCAGTTCACGCCGACATCTGGCGTTTGAAGCCGCAGTTACTCATAGCTCTTGGGCAAAGAGTTCATGTTGGAGCAAGTACCGACTTTTAAGATCTTGCCGGAGTGGCCTTTTCCATCGACCCGGGAAATGTGCACACCAAGCCCTATGTAGGCAATGCGCAAAAACGCAATCCGCAGCACTCCTTTCTGCACGCTCAAAATTCAAAGTCACCCAACGGGCCCACTCCGCTTCCGCTAGGTCGTTCTAATCGAGATGCTAAGTAGTGCGATTGCCATTGCCTGGCGGAAGTTGGCGTCTGACTGGTTCTACGGCCTGGTAGTTTCTGGGAGGAACTCTGGAAGTGATCCGGAAAATCGCGCGGGGTGGCAAGGTGTGCCAATCTACAGGCGCTGAGTGATTCCTTTATGCCGAAGGCTGGCAATACCGTCTTTGTTCAGGGCTGTGCCGACTTTTCGAGGAACGAAGCCACCGGTGCATTGCGCGAACGGATCCCAACGTTGAGCTTTTGCGGGTATGCAGTCTGCAAAGTCATATCAGATTTCGGAGCTCAGGCACCCACAGCGGATTTCTTTCAGCTGCAGCCTAAAATACAGGTCTGGTTATCCTATGCGGTGAGACTGAGTACAGACAAGGCAGCGATCGATTGTGGATGTAGTGGCATCATCCTTCTTTGCTTGCGCGTCCGCAGATGTACATGGGGGAGCTTGGCGGGAACGTGGGCAGCTACTGGCGTCTCGTCATGCATTCGTGTTGCTTCAGCCCCTGCCTGCCACGTGTTTAGCTAAAGAATTGTTTTCAGGGTTTCGAGCTAAGCAGAAGAGAAAACACAAGAAGACAGCATCCGGCTGTAGAAGCTGCTCCACCGAACATCACACAGGCTCGTGGGCTACAAGCAATAAGTCAAGCAGAATAGCACGCACAGCTGAGCTGGTTGTTGCAACAGAAGCCATTGCTCGCATCACTCGTTTTCGAGGTTTCAGGCAGAGTCCTTCGACGAGGAAGCGCGAGCCACGGAATTGTGTCAAGGATGCTGGGCCTAGCTGCAGTGCGCCAATCACGATGCGTTGGGCATAAGGGGTGAGTGCTGTCATGGATTTCGTTTTTTTTTCTCATTCTCTGTGCTGGTGTCAAAGTCGACGGTCGCCAGCAATACAGATTCCGGTGAAGCATGCTCAGAAAGAGCGGAGACCGCCGCTCCAGAAGGGAAAGCCAGCCTAGAACAGCCATATTTGTAGCAGGCCCCAGACTCCTTCCTATACCGGTGCAGTCAACTTGGAAACCACGTCATGGAACTACATTTTACAGACAGATCAAATCAGCGCCGCGTTGGGCAGTAAGAGATGTATGAGAAGCAGCTGGTGCACGAATCGATTTGAACACCAAGCGACATCATGTACAGGGGGTCACCTGTGGGGTGTTTTTCCGTGACTCAACAGACTCGACCCTGCCAGATGCCCTGTAACTCTTCTGCCGTTTCTGAGGCAGAAATAGGAATTGCTGCTGTGATCTCCTGTGTGCAATCAGTTTGTTCGAGGCCTTTGATCGCATGGTCTCAACACAGACGGAAGATATGGCCGATGAGAAGTCCATGCCCCAGAATGCACTCAAAGAGGAGGGTGGGGACCATCTGCTTTGACGCTGCAGGACAGCCCTCTTCAAAGCCTGTGCTTTTCTGGGAGTCTGGGTGTCGAAAATAGCTTCGGATCCGCAAAGCCTGAGATGCAAAGGTTCGAAGCCGAGTATCTCGTGGATATGGGAGCGGCCGGCAACCCGGACTTTCTTGTTCTGCTCGTCACGTCCCTTGTGCTTCACTGAGGTCTCCGCTTGAGCGCGACCCAGCGCCAACTCCCTCTTCAACTGATTGGACATGAGCAATCCGCGTGTTGTGTGTGTGTGTGAAAAACTTGCAACAGGCTGGATCCCCTCAAGATTCTTGTCAGCCTCCGCAGAAGGGTAGCAAGGTCACGAATTGTCAGAACTTGCTGAACCTATTGACATAGTGGATCCATGCGGTATGTCGTCGGGGCAAGGCAACATTTGAGCCGTTGATGTGGCCGCCTTGTTTTGTTGAGGTCGTTCTGCTTTCTTCGAATATCGTGCACTTGCCGTCCCCTAAATTGACGGCGTGGCCCGTCAGCACCACAAAGCAGGGTGCGCTCGCACAGGAGCAGGAGTGGACTGGAGATCCGTATACGTGGCGGTAGAAGAGTCCCGAATTTGAGTTTTCTAGGTTCACCAGATTTTCTGATCAACAGTTTCGATCTCGAGGTGCGGAGAAACGGGGTGGCAGTTTGTAGCAATTTCGCATCTGCGATAATGCTTCCCAATCATCATTGAAATCAGTTGCCGCAGCGCGAAATTGCTAGCTCGCTGCCGTCCGCCCGCCAGGAAGCCCCTCCTTTCCTACAGTAGTCGCTGTGCATGTTCAGCCGAAGTCGTGCGAGGGTTCCTCCATTCGACATGCGAGTCCTTGTCCACCGATGTCGGATTTCATTTGGAGGATGCAGAGCCACACAGATTATCGACAATTGCGGTTCTTTTGGAGGAGAAGCCTCCTCGTCAGTGTTTGTTCACAACGACGAGGAACCCGTCGCTATGTCACTCAGTTCAGTTCAGCAGCTAAGAATGTTTAAAGAATTGACTCGAGCTTCTTGGACCCCGTGTTGACGTCCTTTGGAGGGTTCCGTCCTTAAGACGTTCCTAGTTGAAGATTGCTGTGTATTGGGGTGAGACTCCCCTTTTTCTTTCCTCGCCCGAAAGCCCGGACTCCTGCAGTGGCCCTCAAGCCTCAAGCATGGCACGTTGTCCTGTAGTGTTGTGTCGAGCCCACCCGCGAGGGCACCTGTGCTTTGGAGATGCTGTGCACACTTTTCTAAGCGCCTGACGCACTGACATCAGAGTGAAAACGGGAGGTTACAAGAAGGCAGCTCGAGCAGTAGCGGCATACAAAGCGAACGGACCCAGGACTCAGAGACTGCGCCAGGCTGCGCCTGTACCGCCTTTAGAAGGGATGTCGAGCAAGCTGGAAGTTCGCATAGCTTCAGAGCGTCAGGTTCGGGTTTAAGTGTTTGTACATGTTGAAGGCGGCGGTAGATGGCACTGCAGAGGTTCAATCTCAGACTGGGTGAATGATATCCGCTGAAATTCAGCTGCATCGCCCAGTTCGGGCAAATGCCGCTGTATGACTCATAGTCCTACATCAACTGCCTCCTTTTGGCGGGGCTTGTAAGGCCAACCTGCAGCCAGCTACGCTGGAACTGCGTGCCTTTGTGGACTGTTTCCTGTCGTCGGCATTGAGAGAGAGTTAAAACCAAAAGGCCTACTTGTCAACCAGCTGTTTGCGCGCTGTTTGCATCTCAGGGCTGCAGAAAAGCCTTTTGCACAGTGCAGTTGTCAGCCCCTTGGCGCCATGCATTTCATTCGGCATCATGCTTTGGCGTGGCGAAGTACTACTTTTGCTTGCTATGGCGACCGAGTCTGGTAAAGTCCACTGTTCAGTGTCGTCGCGATTCTGGACCGTCCAGGTTCCGGTCCGACGGGCATGTGTGGAGCTTGCGGGCCTTACTGCTGCCACAGAGATCTTGCAACGTTGCAACCCGTTTGTTTCCTGTGGGTTTTTGCATGAATCCGTCTGTGGTTGTCTTGACATGTTTGCTTTTGGTGGCATGATGGCCGAACAGCTTGCTTCGATTTCCATATGCCCCATGTTGGTTGGGCAGTCACTGGTAACAGTGGTTTTCCTGTTTGGCAGCTTCTGTCCACAGGGCCTACTAAGGCATTGGTTTGGGCTTCGGGTTCCGGCTTCTGCACTTTCGGGCATGGTACCCAGAGTTGCGGGCTCCAGAGCTCTGTGCTGACCGGCCGCATGCACCAAGTCAGTATAGCATCCCCGATTGTAGAGAAGGTATAGTGAAATGCCTCTGATGGTTTCTTGCACCTGACTTTGGGCAATCCTGGATGCACCTCAGACATGGACGACGCTCTCCGCCTTCAAGCCGTCGGTTCAGACACACGGGATGCACACGCTAAGCACCACAGCCTTCAACCCAAGTTTGAGGGCGGGGCTTTAGAGCTTCAAGTGTCAGTGTTTCACGGTGGTGTCATCTTCAGTGACTTCTGCTTGAATTCTGATGTTCTGAAGTCGGCAGAGCAAAGCCTTTCGTCTCTCCACTGGCCAACAGGACAATCGCCACAGTTCTAGGAGAACCGCCAGACGCCAGAGTGTCCGCAAAGCCGAGGTGGTCACTAGGTCCTTAGGTGCTGTTGGGCTTCGCTGGTAGCCGTAGCCAATCGCTCCACTCGAACGTTTTCCTCTTGGCAGCGGATCCGTGGCTGCTGGCTTGTCCGCTGCCTGATCCTGTTATCGACGCCACACGACCCAAACCCGTAAGTTCCAAGCCTCGAAGCCTCGAACATGTTCTTTGGCACTAAAGGGAAGGGGGAGACGACCCCACTGCCACATACAGTGTTCGTAATCACTCCGAGGTGCGAGGGCTCGGATCTCCTAACCATCTGTCCCTTAAGCCGGGACGTTCGCGGGTTCATCTGGCGTAGGAACATGGCTGCGCATGTACTCCGTTCATTTTGACTCTACAGCCGCGATTGTCGGGAGGAAGTGTGTTGAGTCGCGAGCCCCACGCAAAAAGTTCCCGACATCAAGCGGTTTGAGCGGTATACGCTAGAGTTAGTTATCAATTCAGACATGCCTTTGAGATGTTGGGGTCCAGAGGTTTGGGAACTTCTAGCATCAGATCAAGAGACTCACAGCTCTGGCGATGATAGTCCTGCTGATGAAACAGAGCACTGTGCACTGAGAGAAGTCCCTGAGCCTAGCCCTGCAGGCCCAGACACCACTACTCAGATTTGAAGAGGTGACAGTTTGAAGTTTGCAGATGCCAAGACCGCAAATGCAAGACTCTCTCCCCCGAAAATCTGTGAACGGGCGGGGTTGAGTTTCCCCAACAAAGTCCACCCAGGCGCAGTGATGTCCAAGGATGACGACTACGACTACTTGTTCAAGGCCTGCCTGCCCGGGGGCGTGCTCTCTTAGCACTGACTCGATCTTGCGGCTTTTTCTCGAGGCTGAGAGCTTGGCACAAGTTTGAGACTTGTTGGCAAGTTTGGATACATGGCCAGAAGACTGTCGGAACGGGTTGTTGCTTCTTTTTCCACAGGCTTGCATTAGACGGAAGGCCCGTTTCGATGGCCTGAGACAGGAAATCTTGGCGAGAGGTTGCTGTTTCATAAACACAGCCTGCTAAGGCCGTGAGCACCCGAGCAGCCTGGTACACCCTTCGGCAGGTTGTCCTGATCGGCGACTCCGGCGTTGGGAAGTCCAACCTTCTGTCCAGGTGCCGAGCTCGGCTCTGAACTTGAGCCGCTGCAGACCCAACACCGAAACACCGATTCACAGATCACAAGTCTTCAGCAGCACACCCTTCGCCGCCCCGCAACCGTGCAGCCGGGCGGTCCTAGGAATGCCGCTGAGACGATGGCAGCTTGAATTCCCATTGTCCCGTAAGCGTGGCAGTTCTTCAATTTTGTCGGGTGTCGGATGCACGTGTCGTGGGCGGTTTGTGACTTCAGTCTGGCTTCTTCGAAGCCTTGGGGCCATAGACTGCCACGTGGCTTTCCTGCCAGCCGGCGACATACAGAAAACATCCCATCCGAACGGAAAGCCACAACCCCAAAGCATCTGAAGGATTTGAGGCTCGGCAGGTTTATGCAAAGCTGCGAAAGAAGCTGGACCCCCGCAAAAAGGTTCACTCGCGACGAGTTCAACCTTGAGTCCAAGTCCACTATTGGGGCCCTGGCCTGAAGAGCTCTGCTGCTCTTTCGAGAGGGTTTTTCACAGGTTTTGCACGACGTTCTGGACATTGGGTCGTCTGTCAATCTTTGTGTCTCTTGTGTCTCGCTCTCGCTCTCTCTCTCTCTCTCTCTCTCCCTCTCCCTCTCCCTCCCCCTCTCTCTCTCTCTCTCTCTCTCTCTCTCTCCCTCTCCCTCTCCCTCTCCTCTCTCTCTCTTCCCCTCTCCCTCTCCTCGCCCTCTCCTCTCTCCTCTCTCGCTCCTCTCCTCTCCTCTCCCTCTCCCTCTCTCTCTCTCTCTCCCTCTCCCTCTCCCTCGTCCCTCTCCCTCTCCCTCTCTCCCTCCCTCCGTCCCTCCCTCGCTCTCCTCTCTCTCTCTCTCTCTCTCTCTCCCTCCCTCCCTCCCTCCCTGCCTTGCTCTCTCTCTCTCTCTCTCTCTCTCTCTCTCTGTCTCTCTCGCTCCTGTCTCTTTGTCCTGGTGGAGATACAGCGCTTAACAGCATAGCATAGCAGGTATTCCAAGTGTGCAACGGGAGGGAAAACAATGAACTGCAATACAACATCAAGGTTGGACACATCCCGAAACTGTTAGCAGCTTGCATTTTGCTCTCCCCCAACATCTGCACAAGCGTCTTTGAGTCGTGGCTTTTCGCGTCGTGCTTGGAGATCCCCTGCAAGCCCGAAGCTCCCTTCACTTAAGCCAGAAACCAGGTCGAGTTTGCGACGAAGAGCATCACAACCAATGGCAAGGCTTTTTTCTTTCTTGCGGCCTTCGGGTAAAAGTTTAGGATGCTAGTGTTGGAGCTTCCGCAGTTCAAGGTTTCGGGTTTGAAGATTGCAAGAGCGGCAGGAGCAGGGTTTAAGATTCGATTCCCAGCTTTCCGTCAGTCTTGACGACATTCAGAAACAAGGGTTTAGTTCGATATGACCATGCTCGGGTTCCTGTGGTTTCAGACAAAGTTGCAATTCGAATTCAGGGCGAGGTGTGCTTTCAAGTTGCGGTTGTAACATATTAACACGTTTTCTTGCAGTTTTACAAGAGGGCTTTCGTGCAGCCTCGGTGACGCAGGGTAGGGTCAGTGCAGAATGACCGGGTGCGGTTTGGACTTGCTTTGGGTTGAACAAACAGTTGTTTTGCGGTTTCCATGTCCAAACAGCTGAGGGCCCATGGAGCCACTGAGCTTGTAGTTGTCGAGGGCAAGGAGGAAACTGCAGGGACACCAGACAGGCGCAGGCAGACCACGATCGTTCTGATGCACAAAACAACAATGTCCTTGTGGTTGTTGTTTCATCATCGTAGCTGTCCGTCGTAGTGGTGACAGTGCTCGTGTTCACACTTTGACATTCGAGATAGGTGGGTGTTGCAGTGTTGCAGGCTTGTGTCATTGTAGGCTGAGGGTCTGTACCGGACCTAGGAAGAAAGGTGTAGTTCCGACTCGCCAGGTGATCAAGGCCCAGATTTGGGACACAGCAGGGCAAGAGCGATATCGGGCGATCACCAGCGCGTGCCAACAAAGGGGGAGGGGGGGCACAGTGTTGTGAGTTCAAAGTCCCAATGCCAGGAACGCAAGCCGCTCGTTACTTTTGCAGTCACGTACTTTTGACTGGAGCCGATGATTGCTGTTGCTGGTGCTTGAATGCCGGGATTGCCGGGATTGCTGGTACTGGTCCTCGTCGTATTTTCGGTGTTTGAAGCTGCGCGCTTGCAGATCTTTTTTGTTTGCAGCGGCTCGACTTGTGAGTGATTTCACCCACGAAGGCGGTAGCGGGCAAGTCTTATTGTCCGGGCCGCGAAGGCTGATCTAAAGTTGAGCATTTTGGTGTGACTGTAAGGGCTTGAAGCATCAGCGTTTCTAAAGGCATGACTTGGCCGTAATCGGAATTCTTGTCATCATGAACCCACATTCCAAAGCCAAAAAAAAGCTTCAGTGTCGAAGCGTCGCGAAACGCCGCGTGCCACAGCTGCCGATCAGAGATCCCCCTCGCTGGCCAGGTACTACCGAGGTGCTGTCGGCGCTCTTCTAGTGTGACGTGGCAACTGATGTAAGAAGCGAGCAGGCTGCGACCAGGAGGGTTTGATGTCAGGCTTAGGACTCGAGGAATTTCAGCCTTGGCTGCGGCGTTTGGCTTCAGGGTGCTTGGCAAGGATGCTCCTTGGCTGTTGTGTTTGATACGGCGAGGTCTTGGTTCTATCAGTGATCAGCAACATGCTTCTGCCTGTTAGGCTCGCAGTTCATAGATGCGGGCCAGCTGTAGCTCTTCCAAACCTTAACACCCAGAAGCAAGTGCCAAATCTTGTGAGTGATTAAGGCACGCTTGATCTTTGGTGCTTTGGCAGGCCCTTTCGCCAACATCTCCGGGTCTTTGAGTCTACTGTTTCCATATCCACCTTCACAGGGCATGTCATGGCAGGAACAGAGCTTGCAAAGCTGATTTTCGGCTTTTCTTCTTGAGCCCACATTCTCTGAGGCCCCGCAGGACCCTCACTCGAATCTTTGGGCTCATACACCAAAAGCAGGCGAATTACGAGGTCTTCACTCCCAACAAAAAAAGGGTTTGTGCCTCTACTTCTAACCGCAGATGCCCCCAGGCTTGATTCTAGCGAAGTCAGATCCGCTCGAGATGGCAGGAGGCACTTTATCTGAGCAACCAAAAGATACCAGCGAACAGAGTCTTTAGTGGGGCCTCTGGCGATTAACCTATCCTTCAGATAGATAGTCGCATGGGGCGAAGATCATGACAAGCCCATACAATGTATGAGATGACTTAGTCCCGGACCATTCGCGAGACCTCCGGAACCGCGGGCTTCGGGCTACCTTGGTGCTTAGCCATGAGGTACGATATCTCGAAGCGAGTGACCTTCGAGAACTTAGAACGCTGGCTGCAGGACGGCTTGATTCCGCAACCAGGCTAAGATGAACTCGACACTGCGAGCTTCAGGTTCTATGGCTTCTGTGGCTTGGGTGTGTGTTCAAGGCTCGTAAGGTGTTTGGTGTCGGAGCTCTGGATTCTCGGCGGAGGAGAGGCACACTGTGCTTTGGAGCTAATGCACCTGCACAAGCCGATGCTGATCTCTGTTTTCGCTTGCCGCTAGCCCAAGATGCCAAATCCTGCATCCCATAAACCTCAAGAAAACCCTGCGAAAAAGGAAAAACTGTGTGCCTCCTCGCCTTCTCCAGAAGTGACAGTTGCGCCTCGAGACAGGAGCTGCGTGATCATGCCGATCCGAACATTGCATCGTTCCCAGGAGCGTGTTCAGGTTGACCGGGATCGGGTCCTGACCCAATGCTGTGATCTTTGCTTTGGGGAGTTCTGATACATGTAACTTCAGTTTTTCGCCTGGCCTAGCACCAAGTCGGCTCTACCAGCACTCATAGCATCACTATGCAGGGAAGGGTGAGCCTATATAATCGGACAACCGGCCAAAAACAACGGGCCACAGAGTCAAAGCAAGCCGTCCTCCGTAGACTTGACAGCACTGCTTCCAGATCAAAAAGGGTTTTCCCAATGCAGGCATAAGATCTGGTTGCTGCCGGAATGGGATCACTGTTGAGACACTTGACCTCTCATCTATCCGACAATTTCGAATGCTCAAATTCTAACCTTCCAGGTCATCATGTTGGTGGGCAACAAGGGGTCTGCATCCCAGTGGTTTTCGCCACAGGGATTGAGACTGTTGGACTTTGGGTTTAGGGCTCACTCGCCTCCGTTCGTCGTGCAGCATCTTTGATATTAATTGCTTGTGCTTCCATATGACTACTTCAACAACCACCTGACGATGCCGCTGACTATGCGGCAGAATTCGTCGAGACTCACTTGGATCCAGAACTGAAAGATCTTGTCATGCAGTCATCTGACTGTCCGTCCCTTCACTTCATGATCCGACAGCATTTGCAGGAGGTCAAGTGCTAATTCTGTACCTTCAACCCGAAGTTTAGAACCCTTCCAGGGATCTTCGCCACCTGCGGGCCGTTGGGCACGGCTCCTGGCAGAAGACTCCTTACGTTACAAGACTTGGAGACAAGCTTTTGCTTAAGGAAGTCGGAGATCGCTTCTGGATGATGGTTTTTGGTTGGCTCCCCCTTCTCGCTGACAGTTTCGAGCTCTTAAAGTCTTCCTGTGTTAGCGACCTATGCCTAAGAAGTCAACAGCAAGCTACATGCAGTGACGCAGGTCTTTTTCCAGTTGTCTAGGGCTACCCAGCTGAGTGTGTGTCGCACAGATTGAAGGGAAGCAACAACGGAATGCCCAGGCAGGACGAAGCTTTGTCCTTCGCCGAGAAGCATGGCCTTGCTTGCATTGAGGCATCGCTGTCTGTATTGGTTGTTGTCCATTGATTGAATATGAGGATTACTATGACTATTGTACACAGATCGAGTTCACCAGCAGACTGCAGCGGCGGCACTAGATCAAACGTCTGAACTCTGCGACTCTCGCAAGGCACAGCTTGAAACACAGAGCTTGTTCTCCTCGACATAGAACTACGAAGTTCAACCACCAACCTTGCTGCAGACCTCCGCGCTGGAAGCCACGAACGTGGAGACCGCATTCATGAGGCCCAGAGAGTGCTTCCCGTTCTTGTCGACAGTTTTCTTGCATGTGCGAGGACCTTAGTGCCACTGGTCTGTTCTTCTTGTTAGTCGATTGCAGTCACCGGAAATACAATCACGTGTGTGCACAGACATATATATATACACACACACACAAACAACCTCATTCCTGCCTGTGTGCACCTTAGACTGAAAATATTCGAAGTGGCACTTCCTCTGACAAGCAACTCCCACACGCTTCAGGCGGCACTGAGTAGTGAGTAGTACTTGTGCACCCTTAATGTTCCGTGCATGCTGCGTGCAAGCATTTACCTGCCACTCCTTCCATCTCCTTCTGGTGCCCGTCTTGACCGTACACAAGTCTCGGCACACGGACAGTATGTTTTTGAGCACATTCCCCGGCGACTTCAACTGCTGTCCACTCTCACTCATGCCCTCGTCTCTCAACCACCTGAGCACGAGCAAGCACCCTCGTCTAACACCAACACCTCGAGCGTGTCTCTCGCGACAACCGGCGGGACCTGATGACTGAGAAGAGGTTTCGAAAATCTGAGAAAGAATCGTTTGCAAGGTGGAAGTGTTTGCAAAAAGTCCAACTGCAGCGAAGAGGCTGCGAGGAGGCGATTCCGCAATTGAGACGGAGCAGCTGAATCCTCCGGATGTCCCGACTAACACAGCAGCTGCTTAGATGACTGCTCTGACTATCTACGAGGAAGCACCTGTCAAGCGTGCCCCCTCCTTGTTCCCGTGCGGCCAACAGAGGAGTGCGTGTCATCATTCCGTGGACTCGCTGGGCGACCTACATCTATCATGTCAGCTTACACTTTCTGTGCGTCTCTAAATCAGGACTCAACCGTGTTGGTGGCTGCTGGATACCGCACCGAAGAAGTCGATTTTCGCAGAAACGGTTTCCTTCCTGTTCGAGCTCCCGCCTCAATTGCGAGGTGCACTCGCATTGCACCATCTGCCTTACCACACACTCGCGCAGCACATTTCCCAATTCCATGCATCTCTCACATGTGTTCTCGCCTTCGACAAAGCATCAAATTGACCAACGATCCGCTTTGATCCAGCATGAGTAATTGATACGCTGTCCTGGGGAGATGGCTGGGGCCTGGCAATAGAATGCCATAACCGCAACAACCATAATTCCGGACCTGCAAAGTTGGTTCCATGACACAGACATGCAAGGCTGCTCTCCGAAATCTACACGTTGATGAGTGCGGAACTTAGGAGCGCAGCGGGCGTAAAGTCACTGTTCGTTGACGAGCTGTAGGGTCACGTGGCCACGTGAGGGAAGGCTCCTGAGCGTTTAACCGGGCTGAGGCTCACGCCAGGTCACGGATGGCGACTCTTTTCGCAACCAGCCGCACCAGAACGCCATACAGGTGCCTGGTGTGTAGGTGTCCAGAGAAAGCAGCTTCAGCCAAAGCTGTGCCGCGCGCCCAAGCTGTGCCACTTCGCCGCTTTGGGAGGTCGAGTCGGTGCAGGCGGCTCAAGGTCGTTCTGGTGGTGGCGCCCTGGCGACTGTTGGGCTGCAACTTCTCATGCAGAGCTCAGTGGCTCTGCCCCCATGTTGACTTGAAGCATGAAAGTTCCAGCCGAGAAGCATGAATTGCCATGTAGCCCTTCAAGCATGGCCTGTGCTAGCTACCATGCTTGGTGTCAGATAGCCTAAGCAATCCCGAGGCCAACAGGCATGAAGCCCCAGCCCAACCCAAAAAGCGCTTGAGAAGCTTCTTTCGCACGGAGGGTGCCAAAAGTCAACGTGTCTTGGAGCCGTGGTTGTTGGTGGGTACCCTCGATTTGCGGATGTCCTGCAACCAAAATCAGCCATGGGCCAAGGTTTGAAGGGAGGTCAAGGCTAAGTTCGAAACGGATCATCCGAAGCTTCATTGATTCATGTTCAGGGTCACAGCCTGAGCAAAGCTGAGCTGAGGATGCTGCGCCTGAACATGAAGGAGTTGCACAGGTTGTGAATTCGTCATGCCTCAGACCCGTCGACTCTTTTGGGTCACAGCTCTATGGCTCAGAGTTCAAGGACTCGCCACCCATCCACATGCTCATAGTGCGATAGCCTCGAGACCCGAAAGCTCAAACTAGCTGAGCTGTCTGATGGGATGGGATGAGTGTTGGGTTCTTTTGCTTTTCTGGCGAATTCTGCAGTCTACAGGATAGTCATTCTGAAAACACCTACAGGTGGCCAGGCCTGGTGGCGTGGCCGATCCATTATTAATGTCCCCAAGCAGACCCACCGAGAAAGCTGCAGGCTGTTTCTAGGACTGGTAGTGGGCGTTTTGCCTTGAAAGCCGTTGGCTGTGGCACGTGTGCAGCCGCCACATGCTCGCACCACATCTGTTGTGGGTGTCACTAGTGATGAAACTCCTCATCCAAGCATAGGCGTCATCTCATTCCTGCAAGTGATTTCGTTTTTTGCGTCGAGCTGGATTTAGGTTCTTGTCTTCTCACCGATGGCCGCTTGAGGGTGAGTTTGAAGCATGCGTCAAGCCTCCAGTCTATCTGCACTCATGCTCTTCGACCTGAGAACTTCACCGTTCGGTGGCCCCTGTCTTCTGGGCTTCCTTTCAAGGACGAGCCTGGATTGACGAGTAGAAAGAAGTCTAGAGATCGCGACGCTCTCCACGCACAGAAAAGCAGTGCATTCATCAGCTCACGGGTTGCTTGGATTCGGAAATGATACCAAAGTGCCCGAGAGGATGGCCTCACAGATGTGGGGAGGGAGATGGATGGAGGTAGAGGGAGGGAGAGAGAGAGAGTGAGAGAGAGATGCATGTTTGTTTGTCAGTGATGCATGTTACATGTTGCTGTGTGCATTCTCCCTTCTCGTGCTCACTCCTCTTGTCGTCCCCGTCACCGAAGCGGGTAATGTGCAGACTCCCGGCACTCCGCTCCAGCTGACGTTTCCAGCAAGAGGGGACAACCCCCAATGATGGGGGCGAAGGCCACAATGGCCGGAGCCTCAGGCTTTGTAGTCTGCAGTTGCACTGTTGGGTCGTTCCACCCTCTTTTCCAGTGCGCGGTAACGCGCAGAGAGTCTACGCACGTGGACTTTGTTGGCTGCGTGGGAGAAGACAGAGAGAGAGAGAGAGAGAGAGAGAGAGAGAGAGAGAGAGGAAGAGAGAAGAGAGAAGAAGGAAGAGAGAAGAGAGAAGAGAGAAGAGAGAAGAGAGAAGAGAGAAGACAGAAGAGAGAAGACAGAAGAGAGAAGACAGAAGAGAGAAGAGAGAGAGAGAGAAAGCTAGTGTAAAGGGATTGGGGGTCCACCAGCGCCGGCCAGCGCAGAAGCTCTGTCTGTGGGGTCTCACAAAGGACGAGAGACCCAGTGCGCGCGCGCGCGCGGGGGGGGCTTCGGCTTCCTTCTGGCTGAGTGCAAGCATGCAAGCAAGAAAGAGAAAGAGAAAGAGAAAGAGAAAGAGAAAGAGAAAGAGAAAGAGAAAGAGAAAGAGAAAGAGAAAGAGAAAGAGAGAGAGAGAGAGAGCGAGTGAGAGAGAGTGAGAGTGAGAGTGAGAGTGAGAGTGAGAGTGAGAGTGAGAGTGAGAGTGAGAGTGAGAGTGAGAGTGAGAGTGAGCCTCCGTGAACTCGGGGGGTTGTTGCCATTCCTCACTCCTCACAGCCAACGACGGGGAGCCAGCCAGAGACCTGCTGGCACAGATGCTACAGTGGGTGCAACGCCAGGAACAAAGCACCCTGTTCGTCGACAGCCAGGGAAACACAGGAGGCCACTTACCGAGAAGGAAGTCTCTTCGGAGACCCGCAGCGTCCTGTGCCTGTGCCACAACAAGGTTCAGGGGAGACAGACCACATGGAAAAGGCGGCACAGACGCTCGAGCAGGGGGACTCTCACGACAACGAGGGCGACCCGCAAGAAGCAGGCGAAGAGATGTCAGTCGCGGAACCTGCTGCGGCGAGCCACGCAGGGGCTCAAGCCTCGCAGCCACCAGAGATCGCGGAGGACAGCCAGGAGCAGGTAGCCACGGTCCCCGCCTACTGGAACCTGCGTGAAGCCATGAGTGCAGTAGGTGTTCCATCCTCGGCGGAGCGAAATGCAACAACCGAGGGGGAGCCCACCCACAGCAGTGGGCCGTCCGCGAGCGGAATCGCGGAGTCTCACTTCCTCCAAGAACAGACCGAAGCTGAGCTGGCTGAATATGGCAGACTGCTAAGCCCCCTAGCGAGTCGACGAAGGGTTCCTGCGAGCTACAGAACCGACGACTCAGACTAACTTCGACTACCAAGGGCAACAGCAGCCTTGATGGGGGGGCACCACACACAGTATACTATAATCTTCTGCCTAGGGGTGTTAGGAGTGTCGTGTTGCATGGTTCGCTTGCAGAGTGGTTGTCGCCTGGGCCTCAGATGTTCAGATTTTGCAACATGGCGATCGCACACAACACATTTGAGCACTTTTGCACATGCTTTGCTGTAATAGTTGAGTCCTGCCAATGGTGTTTTACTGCTGGTGCACCACTTATCTGAGCCCCCTCTTGGGGGAGGTGCCTTTCGCCATGCACTCAGCTCGAGACAGATGTACGGCACCAGTCGTAGGGGGGTTTTTAGCCTTAGCCGTCGAGGCGGGTTGGGGTTTAGTATAGTGGGTTTGGGGGGGAAGGCCGGTGACTTGTGCATCAAGAAATCTCGGCAGTTCTCACGTTCCGGTACACTCCCCAGTGCGCGGAAACGCGCGAGGGGAGGAGCGACTGCGCCTCCTCTTTGTCTGTGCTGAAGAAGAGAGAGAGAGACCAAAGGGCCGCAAACAGCCAAACCACCACAGGAACCACAACAGCAGCAGCGAGCCACAGAGGCAGCCAAAGCAAGGCCGCACCAAGGAGCGCCACAAAGCAAAGCAGCGTCAAGCACGCAGCCACCACCACACGCACAACAACCGCCCCACGATAGGGCAGCGGCGCAACAAGCGCCACCAGACCAACACGAAGGCCCACGCCAACAACGGGCAGACTTTATGGACGGACGACCAGACTGCGTACTTGGGCGAAACAGGTGGGGGCCGTCGCAGGCACCATGGCACCTTCGTTCAGCGAGTACGTGAAGTCTCAATTTCAGCTTGCGGAGCATCGACATCAGAATAGGATGGTAGGCCTTGCTGATTACAGAGTTTCAGACCCTCTTCCGAAGGTTCGGTTGGAGGATACTGAGAAAGAGAATCGCTTGGTATTGCTATTGATTAGGTGTTTGCCTTCAGAGATGAAGCAGAGTGTCATGGAGAAGCATGGCGAGGACGCCATCCGGGCAGCGGATCTTCTGGGGGTTTCTATAAATCTTGCAACCTGGGGGTGCAGCTGAAATTCAAAGTCTTCACTCCTTTATTCGCAGTTTGCAGCGGTTCAGAATGCAAGGGACGGGTTGAGCATCCTTAGGCGTTGGAAGTTGGCCCGCTCGCGAGCCGAATCCTTGAATCTGCCCCAGATAGCACCCTACAAAGAACTCCAGGCACTAAATACCTTGATCAAAGTCTTAGAAAAGAGGCATGAACGATTCCGAACTCTTTTGTCGTTGTCTAGGACACGGCCTGAGATCATGAGGCCCACGCGCGGAGGTGTTGAGACCGCTATCGCCTTGATTGATCAACAACTTCAGCTTATGAGTGCAGACGAACAAACCCGAACCAACAGCCATGTGGGAACAGATCCTCACGCGGCAAAAGGCAAGGGAAAGGGAAAGGGTGGTGGCAAGACGACTGCTGCTGCTGACAAACCTTGCGTGTTCCTTCAGAAGTTTGGGAAGTGTAAGTTCGGGGATAGGTGCTGCTTTAAGCATGAAGGGGTTACAAAATCATGAGTTGCAAATCAGACGACGACATCATTCACGACGCCGACGACATCCACTGAGGCGCAGCTCTGTCAGCTTTGGTCGCGGACCGGAATGTGCAAGTTTGGGGATAACTTTAAGTATAAACATCAGGCGGATGCTAATCAAGCAGCTACCCCAAAGCCAAACAAAGGCTAAGCCCAAAGCAAAACCCAAGGTTAAACCCAAGGCAGCAGCCTCGGCAGAGAGCAACAGCAGCAACACTTTGGTGGGAGCTGAAGCATCATCAGTGAGAGTCACAGCTGGAGCAGCGGTGTCAATGGCCATAGGGGAGGATTCCTTTTCAAGTTCTGGGGATAGCAGTCTTGATGACGGTGACCTTCAGTCGATGGCTGGTGAGGCATCAACCCCTGAGTGGTCAGATGTGGAGCAGGGCATTGTTCCATCTGAAGATGAGTCTGAGCAGGAGCCTATGGATCCTATGACGTATCAGCTTCGCAATGCCCTGCTGTCGGTGCTTGATTTGTCGACGATGGCCTTTGATCGTTTGGATCCGAACGCTGACGGGGTCATTCAAGTCACTGAGGACGTGGTAATGCTGCAGTGTAATATTGCAACGGTGTGATGTGAGGATGATGTTTGCAGGCAGGTCTTCGTGGTGTGCTTCTGGCAGCGTCCGTTAACCTGCAGGCCGGATGGAACTCCGCAGAGCAAAGCAGCACCACCGGTGGCACCAGCAGCGCCGAGGCAGGTGCAACGTGGTCAGTGGGTTGCTACTTCATCGTGGCAGCCT